ATGTCATAAAATTCAGAGAAATTCTCAAGGCAGTATTTACTTCCTTATATCCCCGTGACATTGGAGAAACGTATCCTAATATCTGTTGCAATTTTTACACATTCAGAGTTTACCAGCTTGATGTTTATTCCTCAATTTCCCAGTTTTCTTCTACTGGTGAGTCAAAAGATCCCCCACTGATTGTTTGAGCTTTGCTGCTTACTGTGGCACCATAGCATTCACCTGGACATTATTTTTTAATATATTATGTTTGTAAGCAATATATTAACCACTTATTGTTCAGAGTTCCTGATTATTGCAAATAAGTGATAATGGCCAGTACCATAGTCGAACGAGGTCCACTATTGTAGGCTAGGGTGCACACTGGTCAATAGAGTATAAAGGTGCTCTCTAAAAGTCAAGAGCCCTTCATGGTGCAGAATATTATGCTAATCCAGTTCTGCTTATAACCACTAACTAGATATCTTCATGTTGCTTCCACATTGTAGTAACATAGTGTGGCAATGTGTCCTCTCTACTTGATTATCTGTGAACTTACTCATTATATGTGTGACTACTATCTGATTCACTCTGCAGACCTAAGTTGCATTGGACTTTGATCCTATATTCGAGGGATTCATCAGCTGTACTATTACACACAACTATACTTCAAGTGGTTATAACACTGGGACTAATCTTACCAGTTCATTAGTTTGTCTCAAGCTTGTACTAAAATTAAGCTCAAACAAACTCTTGCATTAGAAGTATAGTTAATAAAGTAGTTGATGTATACTTGTATGTAAAACTAAACACACAGTAATGCTTATGCATACATCTAAACACATTATAACACTGTATGTAACAAAAACAAAACACTAACTCTACTTGGAATGGAATTGTGATAACTTAGTTTTTGCAGAAGTTGGTAGAATCACAGTCAGAGCTGTTAAGCATGATTATTCAAAAAAGATTGCTTGCACACTTTGAAAATACTTAATCAGATTTATTGAAATTTTTGACAAACTTACTAAATTGACCTATTTTATTCTTTAAACAACTTATAATATTTGATTCAGCTGACTGACTTAATTCTTTCAGCACGAGCTCCATTCCTGAGACCGATCTTGAAACAGTTTTGTGCTTGTTATAGTTTTCATGCTATAACTTTTAAATTAGTAAGCGAATGTTAACGAAATTTGGCAATTTATCAGTAAACATTCTGAAGATGAATGGCGGAAGACTTTCGAAACGTAGTCCTTTACATTTGTAGGTTTCTACAACAAACAGTTGCTGTCCATTTGAAACTTAGATTCATTATG